TTCTCTTGCCCTCATATTTGCACAGTAGTTAGTTTAATATATAAACAACAAAAAACTTGTCCACGAAATACTTTATTTCGAATTTTTTTTTTTTCCGAGAGCATTTTTTGTACGATCAATCCACATCCTTTTAATGCTATTTTGAAAATGATCTCTGACTTTTCTTTGCAATTGAATATTGCAAAATGTAGACACGTTTTCTCCCCTTTGGCTCCGGAAACTGAGGAAGAAATTAAATTAACGAAAAACAAGATTCGCAAAGCTTGATAGCCAGCTCTATACGCTTTAATTAGATAATATAAAATTGGTCAGAGTAAACACACAGAGTCGAAACCATAACAAGCGATGAAGCGACTCCGTGTCGTCATTATAATGATCAAGATTTGGTTAAGCACTGGACTGCTAACTTCTGCATATGTACATTTGACTATGGTAACAAACGTCGTGTTTTTGTCAAGTTTTTTGCTATTTTTTCCTCGTGAACCTTTTTTCATCAGAAGCTATTTCTTTGCCGGAAAATAAAATGTTTATTCTCACTTTTCATTATGGAGCAGACGAAGCGCCTTGTTTAATTTTAATTAAATTTGACAATATTAATTAAACGTAATTTAATTTTAATTAAAAGTAGCCGAACTTTAAAACGAACCATTTACATAAAAATGCAGATAAATCAATTTTGAAATCCGACGACGAAAATTCCGTATTTCATCAAACAAGCCGATCAAGCCCGGTATCTCGATGTTTTTGCGTGCTCTTTTCAAGGCAATCACAACGACACAACTTGCTGCACAAAAATCTTCCAAAAGTTACTCTGAATATAACATGCTAATGCATTTGTGTTACACATGTAGCTAACGCAGATATATCTGAAAGGCTGGCCTTCACTGAAAGAAACTGACTTGGCAAAAACCTACAGCAGACGTAGTCAGCGCTACAAGAGACCGTGATTATGGGACACGCAAATTGAAATTGATATCATTTTCATGCGACTGATTATCTATTTCTACCTTGATGACAAAAAGGAGGAACATCTATGGTAAATCCTGAATCCTTTTTAGGGAGGGATAAACCTACTAAGTCGAGTATAGCACCTCTAACCGTGTTTATTTAGACTGCAATGAACACTGTATGAAAACCCTTGTACACTCTTTTGATTTTATACGCAAGGTATCTGGCTATTTTTCCACATTCCTCCCGGGGCAGTTTGTCACTTGTCAAGAAACCTGCAAATACACGACTTCTGAGGTCTGAGCAGTTGTTTGATGAAGTAAAGAAAATATCTAGCCTAGGAGGTCAAAATTATGGGTATTTGTTGTACAAATCAGGATTTAAATATATTCAGATGTCTCGAACGATTTTACTCTCGCGAAAACATTACTACAATTTTGTTAAACATACACACACTCTTGGTACAGGTTACTAAAATTCGAAGAAAATGGAAAAAAATATTTCCTGCCAGTAAGAGGTAACACGTTGCTAATGCGCAAATAAATAAGTTCGGTGTCGGGGGGAGGGCACCTTCACTATATAGGAAAACTAAGGAAGGGGACTTCTGACACATGAGCCTCCAGAAGGCTGTGCAAAGGAACGCACGATACTTGATCAATCTAAAAGTGTTGAAATAACATTGTGAGCGGCTGAAATTGCAATAGTTATAGTGTATATTAGCCTCTACGTCAGTCAGAAAATAAAAGATCAGAGATTTTCTAGTGCTCATCTTTTCAGTTGCCAAACTCTGGTGTTTTTAGAGCCTAGTTTCTCCATTATTTACACGAAAAGGGGTGTCTCATCGCTTAAAGAATAACCTAGTTTTCCCAGTCCGACTTAGCTCCGAACGTTAAAACAAAATAAATGAATTATTCAACTCTCAACCTCAACATAAATTATTTATGTAGAAAGCCGTCTATTGTACCTTTACACTTACATAAAAGTGAAGGATTACTTGATTGGGCAAACTGCTTTTCTTTAAAAAGACAATTTGATTTGCATAGCTAACGTAGCTGTGAACACAGATGAATAGAATAAAGTTTCCAGTAGCTTTAATTTATTATTTATGAACAGAAGTCAAAAAGAAGCTATCAGATTTTGCTTCCTTTCTTTAGCCGTGTTTCCTAAGAATTTTTTGTGGAGCACAATTTTATAAGAACTGACGAACATTTAACTTAAACTTGGCCTTTGAATCTGCTTGATTTTTTCTTCTTTTTTTATTTACTTATTTATTTACTTGTTTATTTTTTTCATTCAAACAAATTTTTAAGCTATTTGGGATTATTTTATGCACCAGTCAGATTGTGTATGTTTTATGAGAAAAATTGACAAGATCTTAAGTATGTTTTATAAGAAAAATTGACAGGATCTTAATTTGCATAAAATTCTTATAACTTTAGTCATTTTCATTAATTTATCATTATAGTTTTGCAAAATTCTATTCTGCATCAATTCAGTTTTACACTTAATTATTTATAACTCCAAGTTTGGCGACTTTTCAGTAAGTCGCTAAATCATTCACACACATCATTGATGGAGTGATGAATATTCGTTTCATTTGACAATTTAACAAGCGATGATTTGTAGTTGGCGCGTGAAGTTTGTCGCTGTCTTCCTACTGTACAATTCTCCTCCAGTTAAAAGTGGTATGTCTGTGGTCAGAGCTTTATTTTAAAAACACCTAGAAGACTATTTTTTCTTAATTCAGAATAATTTTAGAAGGGAAGATCAGCCTTTAAACGTGTTACTATAAGAATTGTTGTACATTTGCCGTGTGCCTCACTTTGTAACTGCAATAGGTTAGTGTTAAATATTCAAATTTTGCACCTAATATAAGTAGCAAAGAAATTTTTTTCCAGCCTTTGATGTGGTCATAACAGGCGTTGTGCAAAATTCTGCTAAACTACAACAACAAATAACTTGATTCCACTTTCAGATGTCACGTGCAAAAGTGATCGTCCTCAGCAAGTTGTCTTTAGCAAACGAATAGAGAACTATGTCTTGGCAGGCCCTATTGTCATGACCAAACTTGTCTCAAGCGATAAAGAATGTCAAATGGCTTGTATCCTTAGCATGAAGTGTGACACCTTCAATTTGGGCCCTCGTGATGAATCGTTCCGTTACATCTGTCAGATCTTGAGGTTTGGTGTTCTAAAGTATAGTCTTAAGCGCAAGAAGGGGTGGAGCTTCAGAGCAAGAAAGGTAAATAAGGCTTGCATTGTTTCAAAGTTTATATCCTTCATTAAGCGGACAGTTTTAAAAGTGCCAATAAATTTACATTTTATAATCAAGAAGCTGTTCAATGGCTACGCACTATTCTACAGAGTGTCCTGACGAGTAATTTAGCCCTCGGACATATATTGGTGTGAAGAGGAAACTCTTCGCGGTGAACGATGTTTGAAGAAATTTTGAAAATACCATTGCTATGATTTCTTAATTCAAGAGTGTCTTCAGCGAGTAATTGACGTCATTTAAAGTGGCAGTGACCTTTAAAATTCTCCTCAAAATGTTTGGAACAAAAACTGCAGATGCACAAAAGATGAGAAGATCAGCTTGTTTTTATTATAAGCTTGTTATATGGCTTGTGTTTGTTGCCCATGTAACGTGCACTCTGATTGGCTAATTCTGCAAAAACGAAGCAAAAGGCCATATAATAAACAATTTATTAACCTTAAACGTTCGGTCCTTACTGGAAAGTCTGAAAACTAGTTCTACGGATTACATTAAGAGTTGAATTTAAACAACCGTCTTTTTTGCATACAATTTGATTCAGTGCCTTTCCTCTCCCTGCGAGAACGCTGGCATCTGCTACTCTATTGATGTAGGTAGCACTTCGAGATGCGCTTGCCCAGACGGCTGGAAAGGAAAGACATGCGCTGAACTGAGTAAGTAAAGTTCAACATAATTTTCCCGAATAAGTGTCAGTTTCTAAAATTCAAAAATTGATGATTAACCTGAAATTTCAATTAATCACAAGGAATGCATAAAGAATAAATTGCAGTGCAACGTTTAAACGATGTGATCCTCGATTAGAATTAACCGGATTTCCAACAAACGAGTTTCGTAGTGAAGTATTTTTACGCTATTTTCCAGATACTTGTAAGGCTGGCTGGGCACCGTACAAACTTTCTTGTTATAAAGTTTTCCGCACAAAAGAAAACTTTTACCAGGCTAATTCGAGCTGCATCAGTGTAGGAGCTGGATTAGTTTCTGTTGAAGACTTCGCCGAGCGTTATTTCCTAGATACCATTCTAGAGGACGGTGAAAAAGTGTTCGTGGGAATGACAGACATTGCAGAGGAGGGGCGATGGGTGTGGATGGATGGAAGCGTTCCCAGGCTGGACCCGCTGTGGCATGGTAAGCATCCAGATGGCGGTGAGAGGGAAAACTGTGGAGAGTACGTGGAAAACCATGGCTTCCATGACATTGAGTGCGGTGAAAGCAGGCCTTATGTCTGCAAATACTCCTTACACGACATGTGAAACTTTCTACTGTGTTGTTTGATTTTACATTATATAAAAATATTGTTACATGGTTCACCTTAATTTTCATCTTAAGTACACAGCATTGAAAGTATCTTTTTTTTGTTTCGGAAGCAAACGTCGACACAAAATCTTGACTTGTTATTAAAAGTAAACGAATTGGATTTTCCCGCGCGGTTTGTAATTGTACAATTCATTTCAGGACATGAGCAAAGTGTAGACTGGGAGTCAAACCCTTCACAAATACCTTAATATTAAACCACCACCCGCCCTTATCTTATAAACACCCCCTCCCTGTAGCTAAAGCGAAGCAAGGAATCCCGGCTCTCTAAATTTTGCCTTTGGGCATTTTCTTCTCGGAGAACTTTGGTTGTATGCAGCTTATAATAGCCTTGGTTGCTTACAACATAGCACTTTTCACTTGACTGTCAAAAGTAATTTACGTTTGCTTTGGTTCGGCATAACTTAACTACGCGCTTGGCTTGAAAACATTGTGCTGCTTTGTAGCCCAATCAGAACTAAAATCAAAAGCAATCGTGACTGGCTGGCATGCGTATTCCCTCGCTTCGCGTAAGCTACATGTATTCTCTTTAAGTTTTGATTATTTCACTGATTTGTTTGCGTCCTTTGTAACTGGACAGAATGAGTTATTTTCATGAATAATTTCCACAAGAATTAAAACAGTTTCCCAAACTCCTGTCGTGTTTTAACAGACAGGTATGCTGATTTAATATTTAAGCACCTTTGTTGAGAAAACAAAATAAACTAATCATTTCAGCACAGATTGTGTGCCTGTGTACCTTTGCTGGATA